ATACGGCAAAAGGAAGGGGAAAGGTAGCAGATGTTTTCAAGCACAAGAAACTGTCAAAGTTCGCAAAGAAATATCTGGTTTGGCAAGCCATCTGTACCTGTGGCTTGAAAAGCAGCATTTTCATAGCTTCCGGGACTGTCAACCAAGAAATTTACGTGAAAGAGTGTTTGAATAAACGTCTGCTGCCTTTCCTGAAGAAAAACAGTTGTTCCGTACTGTTTTGGCCGGATTTGGCATCTTGCCATTACGGTAAAAAGGCCATGGAGTGGTACGCCGCCAACAACGTGCAGGTGATTCCCAAGGACAAGAACCCTCCCAACACGCCAGAGCTCCGCCCAATTGAGAAATACTGGGCTATTGTCAAGCGGAACCTAAAGAAGACCAAAAAAACTGCTAAGGGCGAGTAGCAGTTCAAGGCAAACTGGCTTTCTGCGGCGAAGAAGGTGGACAAGGTGGCTGTACAAAATCTGATGGCAGGGGTCAAGCGTAAGGCCCGGCAATTCGGATTTGGAAAAGCGGAAGCCTAACTGAATATTTTTCCTGAATTTTATACTAATTGAACTTGAAAAAGAAATTTAATTTGATTTTTTAAATAAACGATTTCACCGATTTACACGCGTTTTCCCTTGACCAAATTTTGACCGTATCACCCTTTAATTACAAACGCAATTCAAATATTGTGAATTCCACGCAATTCCCAGAAGAATTTTGAGGGAGCTCCAGGATAATTTTCCCCCAATAGACCCCTTTCATTTTTTTGTCGAGAATCTGAGATGAATTACATCGGAATTCTACGGAAAAAAATAAAAACAAATTAGCTTCCAGTTTAAAATTTGATTAGAATCTAAGGACGAATTTGAATCATTTTTTGGAATGCTCTAATGATAATTTCTGGACTGTTTTAAAGAAATTTTCAAGGGACTTCCAGTGGAAATTTCAAATTAGTTTTAGAAGAATTCTGGAAAGAACTCTGTGGCCAGAAAGCACTATATATCTGAGGAAAGAAATAGCTGATCGGGTTGTGTTGCCAAAAACGGGTAGGCACTGCATCTGGATTTTTTTTTAATTGCTGGGAATTTCAGGGAACTTTGTTTTTTTTTTAATTTAGTCGACACTCTGATTTGTTTTCCTTTATTAGAGAGACTTTCAGCCGTGGGCCCACACTCTGAATTATTTATTTATGTTATGGTCAACAGGTAAAATATTCACCCCAATGACAGAATACTTATTTTAGACAAATTAACTCTTGAAATTGCACTTATTTATAAAACGGGAAACATTGAAATTTTTTTAATATTTGATTGCAGCATCTGTTAAAGATGCGACTCATCCTCCGCATGGGCTCATTCCATCTTTAGTTGGTTCGTGAGAGGCTGTTGTTAAGGAAAGCATGCGATCGTAGATTATGGCGGCGAGTATTGATGTCGATACTACTCAGCAGGGTAGAACAGTCAATGTTTCCCTGAAGAAGATCAACGACGAAGCTCGCCACGTTAAATCTCGCATCCAAAAGCTCTAAGTTGATAAGCATACAACGGTTTTCGTAGCTAGGCAGATTTGTTGGGTCATTCCAGCGAAAATGCCTTAAAGCATATCGGATGAACTTCCGTTGAATAGCTTCAATACGAAAGGTTTCGTGTGGAGACCACACGACCGTCGAATACTCCAGAATAGGTCGCACCAACGAACAGTATAATGCTTTTAGGCAGTATACATCTTTGATTTTTTGGCGAAGTGGAAGATGAACCCGAGTTGTGAGGAAGCCTTGGATACTACGTATGCAACATGATCCCGAAAGCTGAGCTTAGAGTAGATCAGTATTCCCAGATACTTGATAGTTGATTCACGTTTCAATTTTTTGCCCGTCAGGGTGTAGTCATGGTGAAGAAGCGAACGCTTGCGGCCAGAGGAAATTACAGAGCATTTCGAGACATTCTGTGACATACGATTAATACGACACCACTCAGCGAAGACTTCCAATTGTTGCTGCAAGAATCACTAGGTTTTTTTTTACCACGAGATAGAATTTCAGGTCGTCCGAATACGATAGTTTAAGACATTTCAGGATGGTGTTGACGCCATTCATGTACAGCAGAAACAGAAATGGCCCAAGATGGCTCCCTTGGGGAACGCCGGATGTCTCGGTGAAGGATGAAGAATCATAGTCTCCAGTCAGGTAGGAGTAGAGCCGAGTAAGCAAGCCATCGTGAACACCTATCCTGTAGTATTTAGCCAACGCAGAATCTGGGATATAGAACAGCTACCGGAGGAGTGGAAAGAGCGAGTAATATGCCAAGTATATAAAAAGGCGACAAACTAGAATGTGAGAACTATCGAGCGATCACTCTTCTTTTTTTTAAGGCTTTATTAAAGAGATTTTTAGCGTTAGGCTAGTTCATCTCTACGATCACTCTTCTTAACGCGGCCTACAAAGTGCTTTCCCAGATCATCTTTCGCCGTTTATCGCCGCTAGCAAGCAAATTTGTGGGAAGTTATCAAGCCGGTTTTATGGACGGGCGATCGACAACGGACCAAATCTTTACGTTGCGGCAGATCCTTTCAAAAGTGTCGTGAATATCAAGTCCCTACGCACCACCTATTCAACGATTTCAAGGCCCGCTTATGATACTATTAACCGTGAAGAGCTATGGAAGATTATGGACGAGAACGGGTTTCCCGGGAAGCTGACTAGACTGATCAGGGCTACGATGGATGGTGTATCGGGTGCGTTATCGGACTCGTTTGAAACTCGCAAAGGACTTCGACAAGGCGATGGTCTTTCCTGCCCCCTGTTCAACATTGCGCTAGAAGGTGTAATAAAACGTGCGGGCTTTAACATGCGGGGCACGATCTTCAATAAGTCCAGCCAGTTCATCTGCTTCGTTGACGACGTAGACATTGTGGGGAGAACGTTTCAGGCCGAGGCGGAGCAGCACACCAGGCTGAAACGTGAAGCAGAGAAGGTTAGATTAAAGGTGAATACGTCGAAGACAAAGTATCTGTTAGCTGGAGGAACCGAGCGGGATAGGGTTCGCATAGGCAGAAGCGTGACAATCGACGGAGATGAGTTCGGGGTGGTGGATGAATTCGGATCATTGGTGACGTCGGATAACAACTGCAGCAGAGAAATTAATCGGCGTATTATTGCCGGAAGTCGTGCTTACTGCGGACTCCACAAGACCATGAGGTCGGGTAAACTTCACCTCCGTACTAAATGTACCATGTACAAGACGCTGATAAGACCGGTAGTTCTCTACGGGCACGAGACGTGGACGATGCTCGAGGAGGACCTGCAAGCACTGGGTGTTTTCGAACGACGAGTGCTTAGGACCATCTTTGGCGGGGTATGTGAGAACGGTGTATGGAGGCGAAGGATGAACCACGAGCTGACGCAACTCTATGGCGAACCCTGTATCCAGAAAGTTGCGAAAGCTGGACGGGTACGATGGGCGGGATACGTTTTTAGAATGCCGGTCAACAATCCCGCAAAAAATGGTGTTTGCCTCGAATCCGGCCGGTACAATACGAAGAGGAGCACAGCGAGCAAGGTGGTTAGACCATGTGGAGTAGGATCTTGGAAGTGTGGAACGGTCAAGAAATTGAAGACAAGCAGCCACGGACCGAGTGAATTGGCGTAACATTGTGATGCAGGTGCAACCCTGTGGGATGTCGGACCAAGATAAGTAAGTAATGTCATGGTTCATTTTGTTAAATGCTGCGGAGAGGTCTGTGTAGATGGCATCTACTTGATGGTCACGTTCTACTTCACATATGATGAACGAAGTGAACGTAACTAAATTGGTTGTCGTGGAACGCTTAGGCATGAAGCCATGCGGGAGACGAAACAGCCCAGGGCTAAAAGTCTCCTTAAGAAAGATATAAAAAATTAAGCCATGCTGATCCGTCGAGAAACAGTGTGCAAAACTTTGAACCAATTTTTCGAGTATAATCAACTCGGTAGTTTGAAACAGTCCTTTTGCAGCCTTTCTTGAGGATTGGGAACACGGAAGACTCTTTGCAGCAAGCTGGAAAAACGCCTGACATCGAGGAGAGATTGAAAACGTAGGTGTCGTGAGAGCTGACAGGCAGCGCTTGAGGACTAACGACGGTACACCATCTGAACCGAAGTTTTTAGCTGCCTCCCGGCTGAAATTACTATTTCGCTGGTATTAGAAAATGGATGGCTGGAGAAGGTTGAGGAAGTGACGTTACTAGACGCAGCGATTACATCCTGAGAGCTGCGTCGTTCGTTGTTGAAAACACTGCTGAATTGTGTGCGAAACAAGTCGGCAATACCCACGATAGAGTCCACTTCCACTACGCCGTTCGTCATACTTGAGGGTAGTCCGCTTTCCTTTCTTTGGGCATTCACATGACGCCAAGAGCTCTTAGGATTTGATTTCAGACGACGCTGAAGCTGGTGTGCATGGTACAGTTGGTTGTTGAGTCGCTTGTAATCCGTGTTCGCTTTAGAAATAGCATGCTTTCGTTTAATCGGTTCGGTATTTGCTGTGTTTACGAAGAGTAGCAACTTTAATTTTTTTCAATCGCTTAAGCTCTGATTTCGACCAGGCAGGTTTAACAGGTTCGCGATTGTTTCACTTAGGTACGAGTTGATTTAGGATGAATACAAAAATTTTACTTCCATTATATATATATATATTTTTTTTTTGAAACTAGTTGCATTAAATTGGGTTGCAATTTGAGATCACACGATCAAAAAACGGACGAAACTAAAATTGCGTCGAAAAGAAATGAGTGTATTATAGAAACCACCCAGTATTGCTAATAATGAACAAAGTTTTAGGGTCCATTTTGGCTGACATTAGGGAAATCAAACCTATTTAGTGTTTATCTAAATATCATGTGCAAATTCCTACCCCTGTTTAGAAATGTAACCCAGCAAACCACGACATCCCCACACAACAGCTTCTAATCTGTGTGACACTAGCAAATCTCCCGTCCCAAAACAATCTGTCCAGCTTTGAGAGGCTACTTACAATGGGCATATAATTATACGCCTGATTGATTGGCAGACTGAAGTCGCCATTAGATGATGGGATGTAGAACGTCATGTACGGAATCAATCGTCGGTTCCGGTCCAGGGTTTGATTGTTGAGGGGCACCAGATTATCCGCACGGGACATCAGTCGTGGGGGTGGGGGTCGACCCTTGGCCGTGGCATACCGTTGCAGAGGGAAATTACTTCCTCCATAGTGGTATTGGTTACTCTCCGGCGACAGGGATGCTGCTCCGACCAGTGCGAGCACTGCGGTTAAAGCTGTGGAAAATAATGAAGAAATTTTCTAATTAGAATTGATATTTCCATACAAACGCAAAACTACTTTAATTCTCATTCCTCTCCATAGTAGGGAAGGAAAAACAAACACGAAAAGTTTAATGTTGTTAACAGGCGTGTAAAGCAAACTACTCGTGACTTGGGATTTGAATCATTCTTCTCTGTTTGGCAAGCCAAACTTTGTCTCGGAGTGGCTTTTGTGGACCGACCGACCGACCAAGGCACTGAACATGGGCCGATTTCCATGTTCACAACTCTCTTAACTCCTTCTCCCTGACATTGTGCAACAAGACGAAGTAGTTTAGTTTCCCCCATGCCGAAAGCCCGCATTTCACTCTATACCCCCAACGCAGCGTGGCCCCACGTTTCGCCAGTCACACATTATTCGGAGTGAAATTGATTTCATGCATGTTTTATTTCCAGAAGTCCAATGAGACCATCTCCTCCCTCGCCTATAGCTTTGGCAGCTCCGTATGGCTTGGAGAAGTTTGTGGTAAAACAAACTGAGAAACCAAAACGTCTAGGGTAATATCGTGGGACACTCGAGTGCACGTCTACCACCCGCTGCTGCTGCTGCTGCTTCTGGGGTGGTCTTTTACTATTGGTCATACCGAAAGAGGTGTCACAATTTGAATTGTGCAGTTGTCCAGAGGATAGAGAGGATTGCAGAACCCCAGTCGCTTGCTTGCCTGCCTTGTGACTACTTACGGGATTATTTGGTTGTTGTACATACTTATTATCGTCTCTGGAATATGTGGTCGTCGTGTTGTATGTGAACAGTTCCACGCCAAATGACGAATCGGAAAGATTCGACCTTTTCTGATTTGGATAAAACTTCGCATAATTGTGTGTTATGGGCAAACATTCAGATTTTTTTAGGAAAATTCGGTTATTTTGGATGTTTTAATTTTATTCAAAATGGCGTCTATGTCATTTTGCAACATAGATCAAAAATATTCAAGATTTACTTTAAAGTAAGCCATTAGATTACCTGTGGCTTGCATCGGATAATGTGATTCGAATCAAGTCGAATGGTTGTATCGTTAGCGAGAAATTGTTAATATAGTCTCAGCAGAACCAATCGTGTAAAAAAAACGTGTTCAAAAAAAGCTTTGAGTGTATTAGAGTTTTTAACACTAAATCGAAATTTTTATTCAAAATCACAAAAAAAAAAGATAACTTTGTCTCAGAAGTCCTTTTGATTATAAATTACGTTTTCGTGCTAAAATTTATTGAAAAATGTCACTGACGCCATTTTGATAAAAATTACTAAATCCAAAATGGCCGAACTTTTGCAAAAAATTGAATGAATGCCCATAACACGCAATTAAAGTTTAATGGCAATCGGAGAAGGTCGAGTTCAAATTGTTATGTTTTTATCATATTTGGTCTGGAACTGGTCATGTGGCTTATTGCCCCAGCATGCATGTACGTGTTTAAATATGTTGAAAATTTCTTTTTGCTACGATGTCACTTTTAGGCCACATATTTCACAGTTAATTAATGTTGGAATTGTTCGTTTTCCGGCAGTTAGTTGTAAGTTTTTTTTTTATGATATGAAACAATTTTAGAAAGAACCAAAATTCACCATTTATTAAAGATTGCAGTATTCGACATGAACATCACTCGTTCTTCTAAAGAGCAGCAACAATCGTGCCAAGAACCTAGCTTCAGGAACCTAGTTTTTTTTTTTCATTCCAATGATTTCGAAATTTTCAAAGCCTTATCACAAATGTTCTGAGGTTTTGAATAAAAATCTTGACTCAATATACTCGCACAGATTCTTAAGCCTAACACGGGAGATATTAAAATCAAAGCGGTTACAACATTTGTTGAAAATCTTGCACATGCTAGTTAACGGCTTATTAGCGCCGTAGCTTGTGCGAGAAGCCAGGGTGTTGAAAAAATAATAAGAACGTAAATTGACTCGTCTGATATTGACATTCAACTGCTGCCGAAGTGGACCGCAATTAATGTCCGATCGTACGAGATCAGCGATGAAGGTAGCCTTAGAGACGCTACGGCGAACACGAAGTATTTGTTGGGACATCAAATTTCAGCGATTTTCATAACTAGGGAGGTTGAAAGGATCACTTCAGGGTAGCCAACGAAGAGCGAAACGTACAAGTTACCTTACCAATCAGGCTAAGGCCTTTTTGTCCTCTGCTGTCCGAAGAAATCGTTTCCACTCTACTCGATCCATGGCCACACTTCGCCAGCCTCGTAGTCTGCGAAGGGTCCGCAGGACGCCTTCTACTTGATCGATCCACCTTGCCCGCTGCGCACCTCTTCTTCTTGGGTCGCTTTCTAGAACCATTTTCACTGGGTCATCGTGCAGCATTCTTACGACGTGCCCAGCACACTGTAGTCGCCCAATTTTTGCAATGTGGACGATGGATAGTTCTCCCAGTAGCTGGTGCAATTCGTGATTCATTCGCCTCCTCAACGTTCCGTCATCCATCTGCACTCAACCGTAGCTGGTACGCAACACCCCTTCCGTTCGAAAACACCAAGGGTTGTTCCTCCACAAGTATAGCCCAGGTCTCGTGGCCGTAGAGGACCACCGGTCTAATCAGCGTCTTGTAGACAGTCAACTTTATGCGGCGGCGAATTTTATTCGACCGGAGCGTCTTCCGGAGTCCAAAGTAGACACGATTCCCTGCCATAATGCGTTTTTGAATTTCTCTGCTGGTATCATTTTCGGCGGTCACCAGTGAGCCCAAATACACGAACTCATCGACCACCTCGATTTCGTCACCGTCAATCTGAACTCGGGGTGGGAGGCTAACATTGTATTCCCTAGAACCTCTTCCTTTTATGTATTTTGTCTTTGATACGTTGATGGCAAGTCCAATCCGCCTAGCTTCAGTCTTCAGTCTGATGTACGTTTCCGCCATCGTCTCAAAGTTCCGTGCCACGATGTCAATGTCATCGGCGAAACCAAGAAGCTGGTTGGACTTCTTGAAGATCGTGCCATTCGTGTCTATCCCAGCTCTTCTGATCACACCTTCTAACACGATGTTGAATAGTAGACACGAAATTCCATCACCTTGCCGTTACTTCGAGTTTCAAAGGGACTCGAGAGTGTCCACGATACTCGAACAACGCACATCACTCGATCCATCGTCGCCTTGACCAATCGCGTCAGTTTATCCGGAAATCCGTAATCTGCTAATCTGCCACAGCTCATCTCGATCGATTGTGTCGTATGCGGATTTGAAATCGATGAACAAATGATGTGTGGGCAGGTTGTATTCGCGGCATTTCTGCAGAACCTGCTGAATCCCGCCTGGTATTGCCCCACGAACTCACTTGCAAATGGTGACAGGCGGCGGCATAGAATTTGGGAGAGTACCTTGTAGGCGGCGCTCAGCAGTGTGATCGCGCGGTAGTTGCAGCAATTTAATTTGTCGCCCTTTTTGTAGATTGGGCATACCTTCCATCCACTTCCTATAATATCTCCTTCTCTCAAATCTTGGCAATTACTCAGTGCAGCGCTCTAGCCAGTGCTTCACCACCGCACTTTAATAGCTTCTTCAGCCAACCGATCTCCTCCTCAACTTCTTGAAGTTCAGGGGCCGGTAGCCTGTCGTCTTCTGCACGTGCTCCAAGGTCTGTTGCCGTGCCACCTTCGTTTCCTGCTGCATCACCGTTGAAGTGCTCGTCATAGTACAGCTTCCACCTCTCAATCACCTCACACTCGTTCGTGAGAAGGTTACCGTCCAAGTCCTTGCACATATCGGCTTGCGGCACGTAGCCTTTGCGCGAACTATTTAGCTTCTCGTAGAACTTCCGTGTGTCGTTTACGTGGTACAGATTTTCCATCGCCTCGCGATCTCGGTCTTCCTGCTAACGCTTCTTTCTTCGGATAACCGAGTTTATTCTGCATCGCTCCACATTTAATCTCGTGCGTCCAGCATTCTCGCCCATGCTGCATTCTTCTCCGCTACTAACAGTTTGCATTCCTCGTCAAACCAGTCATTTCTTCGGTCCGGGGTCGCAGTACCTAGTTCCACTGCAGCAGTACTACCTATGGCGGAACGGATGTCCCTCCAGCCATCTTCAGGAGAAGCTGCGCCAAGCTGCTCTTCCGTGAGTATTGCAACTTTCAGCTGTTGCGCGTAGTCCTGGGCAACTCCGGCGTCCCGTAATTGCTCAACGTTGGGTCGCGCCGTCCAACTTCTACGTCGAGTTTTGAGCGCATGCATACTGCAACTAGGTAGTGGTCCGAATCTATGTTCGCACTGCGGTACGTGCGGACGTTGATAATGTCGGAGAAGAATTTCGCGTCGATTAGAACGTGATCGATTTGGTTTTCTGTGTGTTGGTCAGGTGATCTTCAGGTGCCTTTGTGGACATCCTTGCGGGGGAAAAGGTACCACTACCATACCCCGAGAGGCTGCAAAGTTCACGCATCATTGGCCGTTGTCGTTCGATACGGCATGCAGGCTGTTTGGCCCGATTGCCGGTCTGTACATTGCCTCCCGTCCAACCTGAGCGTTCATGTCGCCGATGACGATTTTGATGTCCCGTTGCGTCCCTGCGCATAGAACGCTTCTTTCTCGTCGTCGGGTCTCCTTTTGTGTGGGCAGTGCACGTTGATAATGTTGTAGTTGAAGACACGGCCCTTAATCCTCAATTTGCACATCCTCGCGTTGATCGGCTGCCAACCACTCACGCGTTGGCGCATCTTACCCAGCACTGCAAGGCCGGTTCCCCGCTCGTTGGTGGTGCCACAGCTCTGGTAGCAAGTAGCCGCTCGATGCCCGCTTTTCCATACCTTTTGTCCCGTCCAGCAAAGTTCCTGCAGTGCAACGACTTTGAAGTTGCGTGGTTGAAGTTCGTCATATGTCTGTGCCGATTGTTCCGATCCGTATTTCTTTCTTCAGTATTTGCAACCTCCTGTCTCGCCGGGGGACCATCGCGCACAGCTCTGTTTAGAGTTGAACGCTGGCAATAGGACGGTGATCAGCCGCTCCTAA